TGAAAAATAAAAACGGCTGGGGATGTAGCTCAGTTCAAAGGCCTTGGGATTGATCCCCAGTGCTGGGGACGAGATGCTTCAACATAACCAGAAAAGGAAAATATATATCTTCAGGAAAAAGCACACGAATCACAGATTAAGGTCCTCTTAGAAATTCCTGTTTTGCGTCGTTGCTGGCAGTGGACTGCAAGTTGCTTCTGAACCTCTTGGTGCTACTGCAAAAGGAGAAAGCAATTCATTTCATACGTGTTGTTCTGCCAAGAGAAAACAGAAAGTAGATGCACAGAGACATGACTATGGCTGGTGTTGAAAGAGGCTGCCCAGGCCTCCCCTCATCTCAGATTCCTGATCTCCTAGGAGGTAGTTCTCCTTTCCTGTCCCCAGGACTACCTGCAATCATCCTGCAGCGCCTTGGTGGGTGTGTTTTCGCATCTGACCACCAGGTGTCAGTGTGGGGCAGGTCTCAGAGCGGGCTTCTCCATATCCCAGAGGAAGAGGGACTTGGGTGCCAGGAGCGCCCAGGGTGCTCAGGGAGTTAGTGCCAGGGCCTTTGTGGAACCTCAGTACAAGAAACCTGATGGGATCAGGAGCATCTCCGCAGGGGGCGGGAAGAAAGCACCTAGGAGAGTCGGGCTGGAACCCCCAGCTCTGCTTGCTGCCCGCTGGGAGCGCCTCATAATGCTTACTGCGGGCAGAGGAGGCTGGGCTTGGGAAGGACCGGGGTCCTGTCACTAAGGCCAGGGTCGCTCTGATGTGGAAGGGCACAGTGTGTCTAAGCTACCGGACAATCGCGGGGGGGGAGGGGCTATTTAGAGGAGGGAGAGTAGTTTGTTTCTTGCGGTGGGTTTGGGACCCAAAAGTCAGGACTTGTTAAGCGTGAAGGAGAGAAACCCATCTCTAACCATCTCGAGGCACAGCGGGCAGTGAGAGGGTGTTTGGGGGCTCACGCCCTGAGCCGTGTGTGGGTCCGGACGCAGCGGGGAGCCGCGCACTGCCTCCATCTGCCCTTCGCCTGTGCTCCCCGCAGGATTTAGTTCTAGGCTGGCTCTGGGGACAGGTTCGAGCAGAACCCCTGCGAACCTCACAGGCCGGGCACCTAGACAGCCGTCCTCCTGGGGTGGGCCCAGCCGAAGTCCACAGAGGCCTCTTCCTGGTTCAGACAGGGCCTCATGCCCACCCTTCCCCGACCCAGTCTTGGTGATGGATACTGGGGGCCCTCATCCGGGAATCAGGGTCAGGGTGGCTCAGCTCTGCCCAGTGAGTCTACAGAAACATGCTCCGCTGCTGGTGCCGGTGCCAGCAGGGTGAAAACCACAGAAGGCCACCGGGGAGGAGCTGTCACAACCCGCAGACCTGCTCCCCAGCTGCCGAGCACGGGAGGAAGGCGCCGGGAGCCTGCAGCAGGAAGGGGAAGGGCCCCCCCACCCCAAGGCATTTCCCCTCCATTAATTGTGAGGGCAGCAGCTGTAAACAGAAGCCCCAAGGAGGATGGGGTCAGCCCCACGCCCCGCAGGTCGGGGATCACTTGTTCCTGGTCCTCTTGGGGGAGGCTGACCGGCTGCTGGCTCCCTGAGATAATAGATGTAGAGCCTGGGCCTACGCCCAGCACGGAGCCCTGTGCGGAGGACAGAGGGCTCTTCCTGTAACCATCACTGCTTGGGTCTTGTGATAATTAGTCTGCCTTCCCAAGCCCTCTTCGGGTATGCCAGGAAGAGCTGGTGACTCTCCCTCCCTCCTTCCCTCCCCGTCCTCCCTCCTCTCCCTCCTAAACTCACCTAAGGTGCGTAGGATCCCTGCAACTGCTTCCTGCTTTCCCCGCTACAGGTGTGTCCTTCCTTCCTCTGTTCCCAGGCCTTTGCCCCCACAGTGGGGAGCAAGGCGGGGTTGGGTAGCAGCTCTGCCATCCTGGGGACAAGAACAAGAGCCACACAACCGGATGGAGAGGACCAAGGGAACAATCAGGGTCACCTCGCATCAGGGAGCCTCTTATCTTCCGGGCAGTCTCCCCTGGAAGGGGAAACTGAGGCTTGGGGCTGCACAGCACCCTGCACAGCATCCAGGGTGCCATGCAGGGTGCACACCTGGTCTTCTCTGGGTCGGGCGTGGGCCCTGAGTGCAGAGGCTGCACGGAGCTGCAGCACAGTGTGGTCCTCGGGTCGGGGTCCCAGGGTCCCTGAACCCCATGGCCAGGCCTCCTGGACGAGCGCGTGTTCCGGATGATGTGTGTCCTGAGACCACCACTTACTTTGGACCAAATAGCATCAATAATTGAAGTCCTTTCCTTTATAAACCAGGAAAATTGGTCTCCTGGCAAGATATGAAAAATAATTTCACGCTCTCTTTCCTTCCCTCCCAAGATCACCCCTGACAAATTGTCTCTTTATTGCCTGTCAGTCCAACATCATCCCACATCTGGGGTCCCCTTGGCTTGGGTTGCTAGTCCCACTCTTGGCTCTAGTTGGGGCTGTCTCTTCACAGAACCACCATGAAATTCTGATTTCTTTCCTTCTTCCCTTCCTTCTTTCTTTTTTCCTCTTCTTTGCTTCCTTCTTTCCTTCAGCAAATTTTCCCTGCCTTCCCCCCAGGGATCTGAGGATTTCCCATGATAGACACAAAGTTACAGTTATTCATACTAAAGTGTGAGCAGCTACTATCATAACTCTTGAAATAGAGCATGAACCCAGAAACACTATTTGTTAATCCCATTTGTACCCATCATCTCTTTAATAAACCCCCTAAATTTTGCACAACCCCTAGTGGACCTAATGTTCTTATAGGCTGGGTGGCTTTAGCAAGTTGCTTGAGCTCTCTGAGCTTTACATTTCTGATGGGTTTGAAGGAAATAATAATGATGCCAAGAAGTTACTGTGAGGTTTGGATTCTATCACAGGCGAGAGGGAAAAACAACAGATATCGAACCTCATCCCCATCCCTACTATGAGGAAGGCATGATAAGGTCAGTGGCTCGGGGTGGAGGAGGAAGCGATGCTGTCAGTGCAGAGAACAAGGCTGACACCCATGCTGACCCTCGGAGCGAGCAAGCCCTGTGTCCCTAAGCTAGCAGAAGAGGACACCGAGGTGATGGCTGTGAGCCCGGGATACAAACCCCAGCTGCAGTGGTGTCAGTCTAGTACTGGGAAGTCAGACAGCTGCTGCTCTGGGCCTCCAGGGTCTCAGGGACTCCAAGTGAGGGCACATCTGCCAGCCCCGCCCCCACCCAAGGCCTCCACACAACCTCATAGTCCCAGAGGCTCACTCCAAGGCCCTCTCTTTAAACTGCCCTCACCCTGGTGTCTTCCCAATGTCCATTGCTAGCGCCGACCCTGTGACCGCTTCCTGAACAGTACCCCTCCCCCCACAGCAACATTTAACCACTTCTACAGCCTGTTTCTTAAAGCCCTTTAGGAAAATAACTCATACTAGGCTGTGAATGACTGTCACCGGTAATTCAGCGGCTCCCATCTCACGCTCTACAAGTCATTCATCGCACCAGATGCCCTCACACACTAAAAAAGTTACGAGAATTTTATAGGTAAGTTTGAGAGATTCTGAATATTTTCCCTTCCAGACAGTCACAATACATGTTCAGCTGCAGGCTCCTGGAAGTCCTGCAGGAGACACAAAAGCTATTGTAATTTGTTTTTTCCTGCAAGAAACATGTGACAACAGTCAGAAAAAAACTTTGGAAATCCCTGACGGAGGAACCGAGGAGCCACCCCCTCAGCAGCTGTAACATGAACCCCACATCGGGATACTTTTGTTGGCTTTGCTCTGTTAGGGCCTCAGAACCTGGAATCATGTTTCCTACATAAAAGACAGTGGATGGATGAATGGGTGGACAGATGAACAGATGGACTGACGGATGGATGGATGGATGGATGGATGGATGGATGGATGGGTGGATGAGTCTGCATCCTAGAAATTGTACCAGTTACAGATGATGGAGGAGATAGTGTGCATATGCATGTGTGTGTGTATGTGTGTGTGTGTGTATGTGTGGTGCTAGGGTTTGATCTTTGGGCCTTCTTTACACCAAGCTATCTTCCCAGGCCTTTTTAAAATTTTTTATTTTTAGACAGGAACTTGCAGAGTTGCTAAATTTTCCAGGCTGGGCTTGGACTTACAATCCTCCTGCTTCATCCTCCTAGAGTGCTGGGCTTTTAAATTGCTTTTAAATTGTGAACGGGACAGGGAGTGTGAGAGGGCTCTGAGCCCTCCACTCTGAGCAGTGGAGGTACTGACAGTGGTTGGACTCTGGCCCATTTCTTGTTTGCAGTGCTGGGACAGACCCCAGGCCTCGTGTATACTAGGCAGCGCTGTGCCCTTGAGCGCCGCCCCGAGCTCTGGTGTGGTTTCCAAGCAGAGCCAGCAGGATTTGCCAGTGGATTATGTGATGGTGAGAGACAGAGCAGAGTGGTGCATTGTTCCAAAGGTTTGGCTTGAACTGGATATGAAAATGGCGACTTTGGTCTTGGACCAGTTCGCTCTGGGATATGTATGATCTGTCCATGGGGAGGTGCCAGCAGATGGCTGGATGCTCCACGTTGAGTTCCAAGGGGAGCACCAAGGACAGTCTGTCTCCACCCTGCACTCTCCTCATCACCTGTCCAGCGCAGCTTCCCTGTGCTCCCCACCACCATTCCTAACCCAGTAGGTGTGCAGCCTGCCATGCATTTGTCTGTCTTCCCCTCCAACTGGGGGAGAAAAGGAACTCATGTGACTCATCTGCCATGGTATTTCCCAGGGTAGGGCTGGGGTAATATGACCCATGGGATACGTGTGAGGTGGTAACAATGACGGGTGAGAAATTCCTTATGTGAAAATGTCCCTACACATTCCCCTCCGCTGCAGGAGCAGCCAGTGCCAACCTCTCCAGCAGGCTCTGTGCACACCCTGTGCCTTCCTGCCCCTTCCAAATGATGGAAGAAAAAAAAATAAGAGAAACTAGTTGGGAACATCAGTAAAATTGAAAAGCACAGCTAATACTGGGCCTTCTTTTTATTATTATCATCATCATCGAGTTGTTTGTGCTGACTGCGCTCGGGCAGGCTGACACAGGGGCTGGGCTCTGAGGGGGCACGAGGGTGGCAAAAGAACAGAACATGTGGCAACTGCCAGAGCTACACGGGCAGGAACATGCGTGCCTGAGCTCTTCCACCAGGCAGGCTCACTGCTGGATTCTGCGCACGCTCTGCACCAGGAAGGTCTGGGCATGAGAACCCCACTCCCGGAAGTGCTTGTAGTCTCCTGAGTGGTGATCACTCTCCAGCACATACTGAAAACCTCGGTAGCCAGGAAACTGGGAGCACACCCACCTGCCAAAGGGAAGAGAAAGACAGTTACCCTCCAGAAGCACCAGCACATCCACCAGGACAGCCCAGCCGTCCCACCCTTTCTCCATTGCCTGGAGTATATAAACATTTCTCTGGCCATCGGGCCTTTGAGCCTGCAGTTTCCCTTAAGGAACACCCTCTGGCCAGTCTTTCTACGGCTGACTTGTGTCTGTGCTTTGGTTCCCAGCACAATCATGACTTATCAGGGCGATCTGACCCGCCCTCTAGATCAGGCCACAGCCCTGACTTCACCTTTGTAGCACTCATATAACTCAGTAAATGTTAAAGTTATTTATGAGATGTCATCCTTCCCTGCCAGCAGCTCCTGGTGCAAGGACGTCTGTGGTTTGTTCAACTCCACCTGTAGTGCCTGATGCCTCCTCTCCTGGTAGAGAAGAGGGGGAGCCAATATTACGCCAATATTAGGCCAATGGGTGAATAAAGCAAGGAAGGGTCTTTTCTTTGCTCCCTTACCCAGAGCCACTTCCAAGAAAAGAGCTGTTGTTTTAATATGTTGATTCCCATATTGTTTGGGACAAAGATTGGTGTTTGGACTTTGAGTCCTCCTTTCCCTGTCTGTAAAAGAGGGAGATGGACTCAAGAATTAGGGGAACACCTTTTCTGAGGTAATGGGATCCTTTGGTTGTCCTCAGAAAACTAAAGGAAAAAAGAAATACCCAACCACCCACCTTCATCACTGCCTACTAGGGGCCAAAGCGCCCCTGAGAAGGTGACTCTGATGTCCTCCTACATGAGGATCCCACATCTGAGCCTCCATCTGCTCCCTCTTAGGGGACAGATGGGAATGACCCTGAGCTGGAAGCTGGGTTTAGTCCTCTCTCTGCTATTGGACGGAGCAAATTGCTGGCTCCCCATTGTGTCTTTAAGGCTGGACATCCATTTCCCTCCCCTCTTCAGGACAAAGGTCTTGTCATCCCTCCCCCTCTAGGCTAAGGTGGGGAAACAGCTGAAAACAGTAATGCGCATGGGAACAGGTCTAGCCAATCAGAGTATTCCATTCCTCTGGGCCTGGTGATTGGTTCAGAATGGAGAACAAGACCCACGTTGGATCAGTGAGCACCTTTTCTGGAATCTCTGATGGAATCATTGACAAAGGGTCTCCATCCCTGGAGCTGGAATGTAGAGAAAGCTGCTGTCTGTGCTTTTACATGAGAAGAGTGAATCTAAGAATATAGCACACTGAGGCAGGCAGAGCAACAGGAAGGAAGACAGATCATAGCGTCTGGATCCAGCTGTAACTGAAGCCAATTACAGTGGTCAATAAATATTGTTTAGGCTTAAACAGGTTTAGTCCAGATCGCCATCACCCGCAGTCCAAATAATTCTGCCTGAGACCTTCATGTGCCTGTATGTCCTCTGAAGCGTGGGCAGCAGCCCCCAGCACACAGTTCTCACAGTCATGGGCTATCCTTCCCAACACCCTCTCTTTCCCCGTCAGGAGAGTGTTGGTCCCACTTACGCCCCAGAGTGGACGTGGAAGGAGCCCACTTCATTGCTGTCCCAGCCCATGGCCTGCAGGGAGGGGTAGTCGTCACTCAGCTCTCCTTTCCTGCCCAGAAAGTTCTCCTGCTCAAAGATGGTCAGTCTGGAGTCACGGTGGTTCTATAGACACAGACAGGAGACAGGGTCAGACCACCTGGCACTCTCCCTGGTTCCCACAAGCTCGTAGTCCAGCCCTTGGCAAACTTCTTGGAAGGGCACTAAGGCAGCAGGTATTCAGAACTTATGGAAGGGTTATCATTTTCCCTCCCAGGATTTTCCACCATGAAAGTAATCATGGAGCAAAGCAGCTGCAAGGACGTTCCTCACAACAGAAAAAGGGGTGGGGGGACTGGGGATTTAGCTCAGCGGCAAAAGCGCCTGCCTGGCAAGCGCAAGGTCGTGAGTTCGGTTCCCGGTACCGGAGAAAAACCAAAACCAAAAAAAAAAAAAAAGAAAAGAAAAAGGGGTGGGGAATGGACCCAAGTATCCAGCAGGTTCTGATGGTAAAGAGGTGCTGTGTGGCTGGTAGAAAGAATTACCAGGTGTCAGAGCTTAGACATGGCACACAGCATGTCTGAGCCTGTTTCCACATCTGCAAAGTGGCACTAACCACACCTGCTTTTTATGGTTGCTGTGCAGACATCGGGGCTATGAGCTGCGTGGAAAGAGACTGACTGCCTGTGTCACATGGTTTGAAGAGGGGAAATGAGAATGTGAACTCTGGATCTCTCATGGTCTGGCACCACGGATGGGGCTCAGGTCTCCGGGGGGCTGGGTGGCAGGACTCACCGCACAGGCCACGGGCCGGAAAGAGGTGAGGCGCTCGGTGGGGTAGGCCGTGTTCCCACTCCAGGCGTCCCAGCACGGGTAATCACCCCGCTCCAGCACGTACTGCTGCCCTTGGAAGCCAGCATGCTCGAAGCCCACCCACCTGCGGATGGAGGGAGGCAGGGCAAGGAGGTGAGATCTCCAGCCCTGGGTCCCAGGCCAGGGTTCTCACTCAGGAGACTCTGCCGCAGGGGACATTGTGGCTGTCACTCAAGGAGAAACTGTGACTGTCTTTCCACATACAGAGGGGACGCTGCTGAGCACCTTACAGCAGGAGTCCCTGACCTTTTTGACACCAGGGACCAGTTTCATGGAAGAGTTTTTCTATTGTAAGGGTAGCGAAGACAGTGTGTGGAGAACGGCTTTCAGTTCAGTCAAAGCAGCCGGCAACCTGGATCCTGGCACGTGCAGTTTGCAGCAGGGTTTGTGTCCCTGTGAGAACTGGATGTCCCTGCTGCTCTGATAGGAGGGGAAGCTCAGGTGGTGATGGGAGCCGTCAGGCGTGTTTGTGAACACAGACAAAGCTTTGCTCCCTTGTCTGCCGCTCACCTCCTGCTGTGCGGCCGGTTCCTCTTAGTCCATGGACCGGAACCCCATCCTACAGCACAGGAGGAACCCCCACAAAGACAGACCTGGCCCCAGGCATCAGGAATTCTGAGCAGAGGCGCTGCCCAGACCCTCAGCCCGTGAACACTGGTGCGTCCCATAGGTAGAGGACCTCTGCCCCACACTGGTGCCCCGGCCAACCTGTACCTACGCCGCCCCACAGGCCATGTACACAGGGCTCACTGAAGGCTGCCTGGGGGATTCCTGGTGATCCTGCGGGGCCTGGGAGATGGACAGCATGGGGCACAGCCCAGACCTCACATCTCCTCCTCTCTGCCCCTTTAGGGGATCTGGGGCTTTCCACCCGACACCAGCAGGGGACAGAGGGGCTGAGCAGAAGCACAGCAGTGGTGCCTCAGCTGCAGGGAGCTGGCCACGCCGCTGCCTATCCTCCATCCAGAGGATGACTCTTTATCCAGGTCACCTATGGGGTCAGGGACCCAGGAGCAACCCACATGCCCCTTGCACTTGTCACCTCTGTGGTAATGCATGGTCTGATTCCGTCCAGGTTCATGTCTCCCTACTGCCGTGGCTGCCAGCCTAACCCTAACCCTAACCCTAACGCTAACACTCTCCATCTCTCTTCCTTTCCCCCTCTCCAAAACAGGATCATGTTTAGCATTTTGGATAGCAATATTTAGCTAAAAAAAATTAACAGCATCTTTTAAAACTATATTTGTGCAGTTGCCTTCTACTTTTGGTGAGTTCAGCCTTCAGTGGATGCCTCAGAGGGATATTTTCAGACCCAGCCGAGCTGTCTCATCCAGTGGGCAGGGACTGTGTGAACGGCACCCCTTACATTTGGGCAGCGCACAACCTGTGTAACCTTACACAGCAGTCCTGCATGCTCCTCAGCATTTCAGGAGGGCCCGTGGGCACACACCACGGTAACTGCTCTTTTAGTTTCTGTTTCTTTCAGAAAGGGGAGTGGGGCTCAGACGGGAGCAATGGCCTCTGTGGGGACGCATGCAGCAGATTGGGAAGATCTGGCTGAAAACCTCTAAAAGTCCCAGAACCACTCTCTAGGTCCCTTCCTGCCCCCCGCCCAACACACACACTCACGCTCCACTCAGCACTTTCAGAGATCTCACGGTCTCGAATCCCAGCTCCAGCACGCTGGGGCACTCAGCCGTGAACTCGTGCCGCCGACCCTGGAAGCCCTCTTCATCCCAGACCACCACCTGTGCCACAGAGGAAAGCCGGGGAAGGCGGAGCCTGCGGCATCAGCTCATCTTCCGCCGGAGGTGAGGGCTGGGAGTCCCCCAGGGCTCGGGCTGGGCCGGGCAGGGAAGACAGGGCTGGAAACCCAGGTGCTCCAGGCCCAGACCGGGAAGGAAGGTGGGGTTGGGGAGAGCACAGCCCAGGCAAGGGTGGCCTTGGCTAGGGCCACCAACCCCGGCCTAGTGGGAACGAGGCTGGACCTCTGGATTCTCCAGGCCACTCCCTAAACCTGGACTTTGATGTGAATCCTCTAGGTTTTTAAGGCTAATAACAAATTCAAAGTCCCCCCACCCCAAACACAGGCAGAGTCAAAGAGAGGAGGCAGGAGACAAGTGCAATCTTTGCCAGAGGATGTAGTAGTCCACGTTCAGGGTCCCAAAGACCCGATTTCTTATTCAGGCTCTGCCTGGCTCGGAACCTTGGTGGTGTGGTCTGTGAAATGGGCATTCTGAACCCTCCCTCAGGCAAGGCAGGGATTCAACAGGGTGGGCATGAAAATTCTGGGGACTTGGTTTGACCTGTGTCCTCCACCCCTCTGGGGCCACCCTCCCAGCCACTTCCTACCCTCCAGTGTCCTGCGGACTTGGTGCACTGCAGTGTCATATTGGCCCCTTCCTGCATGGAAGAAGAAGGTGAGACCTTTCCACCCCAACCCACTCACCTCCCTTCTGGTTTGGGCAGGGGCAGGGTCCTAGGATCTTGGCTTCGGCCCATCCCTCTCCCATCCTGTCCATTTAGGGCCAGTGCCATCGACCATGCTGTCCCCACTTCTGAATTCTTCCACACTGGGTCCCAGTGCCTCTGAGCTCTACTCTGTGCTGTTTAATCTGCTCGCTGCAGGGGACTTTGTGTGGCCACCAGGGCGTCAGCCAGGCAAGGGCCAGGTTGCTCAGCTGAGGGAATGCGCAAGAGCTGTCCCTAAACGAGGCTCATGGGGACCAGTCTGGGCATGTGGGGCCTGTTCCTGGTTAGGATGACGATGACATTCGAGATGACACAGAGACGTCCCCAGGATTGGGGACCTGGACCACCCCCCTCCCAGGGTGTTCACTCTAAGCTCTGAGCCCAGCCCTCCAAACCGGGGACTTACCGAGATGGGCCCAGAGAACATGGCAGAACTGAGACCTGCCAAGGTCAAGCTCTTATAGGCAGGGAGTGGAGAGGGGCCCCTGGCCGGCAAAACCCTGACTCAGCAAGTGGGTAACAGAAACAAAAGCCAGCCCTGGCCACAACCCCAGGGCCGAGGTGTCAGCAGCTCTGGCTTCAGCTGGGAGGGAACAGGGCAAGTCACCTCCCCCAGGGGATGGCTATGGAGGACGGTGAGAGGTGGAAGGTCAGCCTCAGTCACCTCCACAGGGCTGGAGCAGAAGAGTGAGCACCGAATGAGGAGTCCAAAGTCATCCCTACCAGCCGTGTGACCTTGAGCGAGCCATTCCCCATCCATTTCTGCCTATAAAATGGGATGGAAGTAAACTCTATCCTGGGGTTGTCGTGCGATGACGTGATATGCCCATCCCTTTGCCCCTCCCACGCCCCTTCCCATCCCAGCTGCAGCAGTGGCTTCCTGCTGGAGGTGGCATTTCAGCTGGACCCTGAAGGACGAGGAGAATTTGCAGAGTGAGACAGGGAGACAGATGGAATCCAAGGACAACAAAGAGCTGGTCACCCACCGGGGCTGGAGCTCCAGGTTCCTGAAGAGGAAGAGTTAGAGGAGGGCTGGGCCACAGCCTGCAGGGTCTGCAAAGCCAGCGAGGTGTCCAGATGGCTCTGCCGGCAAAAGCAAAGAGCTGCTGGTCACAAACATGCTTTTCAAACTGTAGTTCACCTGCTGCACGTCCAGGGCTTGCAGAATTCCCCGAGTACTCTGCTTTCTGCACCCTGCCCCTGGGCTGGCTGACGAGAGGTGGAGGAGGAAAGAGCACAGCTGGGAACAAGCTCACGCAAGGCGAGATCCAGCCTTGTTCCTACCACCTGGGTGACCTGATCCCTCGGGGGCCTGTGATGGCCACACCCATCTCTGGGGATGGGTGCTAAATGCAGCTTGATCACCTGCGTGACTTTGCTGAAGCGTGACCGTGAAAATTAAAGGTTAAGGGTGCAGCACATACAGCCAGGCAGCCCAGTTTGCATCCCCCTCTTGCTGATCAGGGAGCTTTGAGCATGTTCACTAATCTTTCTAAGCCTCAGTTTCCTTGAGCATAAGTGAGTAAAAGAGCCTGAGTGATCGGGGTGTCATGAGGATCAGTGTGATGGCTATGATTGGCATTTGTAACTGTTCCAGGGACATGAAAGGCGTTGTGTACCTCTGTCATTTCTGTCATTATTGTCACTAATAACAGGGGTGCTCATTCTTAAATAATCATTCACAAAGAACTTCTAAGAGCTTGGCTTTGGCAGTTGTAAAGACAGCGGTCCTGGTTCCATCTGAGAGAGGAGGAGGTGGGCTGGGAGAGGGGAGGGGTAGCTTCGTTCCTCTTCTGTAAATGGGGTGGATCCCTGAGGCTCCATGCCCTGGGAGATCACAGGGGCGGAGGCAGTCAAATGCTCAGAGCAGAGGCGCCCAGCACAGTGTCTGTCCCCTGCTCCCACCCTTTAGTGGGTGGCTCAGCGCCAAGGGGGGCACGGATCTGCCCCAGATGGCCCAGCTTTGAATCCCAGGCCTGTGGGTGGCCCCCACCGCAGGCATCTTGGCCCTGGTTCCAGTGGCTGCCCTGTCTCATCCTGTCCCACAGTTCCTGCCTCGCCCTCCTAGGCCTTGGCTCAGGATGAAAGGGGGAGGCTGGGGATGTGGGGGGCCAGAAGCAGGGAGCAGCAGAGGCAGAGGTGGCCCCAAGCCAGCAGGATCACAAGACAGAGCTGGGTTCCATGGGGATCCCAGACCCTCAAAGATGAGGCGGGAACCCATAAGATACCCCCACATACCCTGCCCAGGGCTGAGGAGTCAGCCTGCAGGTGACCTGGCTGAGCAGTTCTTCTGGGCCCCTCTGGCCCAGCTTCACTGTGAATTCCTGTCATGGACCTTGTCGGAGCCACTTGCCCTGCCTGGGCCTCAGTTTCTCCATTTGTGGCATGCGGGAATGAGACCACTGGGTCTGCTCCTCTGTGTGGAGTCTGTGCAGTCCCTGGGACCCATTTCTCTGTCCCTCTCCTTCACCACCAATCTCCCTGTGCCCTTCTGTGCCTCTGTCCGTCCACTCTCTTATCTCACTCTCTCTGTCTCCAATTTCTCTCTCCTGACCTGGGTTTCCTCATATCCCCCACACCTCCTGATGGGCCACTGGTGTGCCCACTTAGTCACTAAACCCTAAAGGAGGCTCTCTGTGGCCAGGGCCTACACCGGGCCTGGGGCCAGTGAGGAGCAAGACGCAGTGGAGTCTGAGGCAGCTGCCATATTCCTGGCCACCAGCTCTGTCCCTGGGGTCAGGTAGTAGGGGCCAACGGGAGACTTCAGACAGATCAGCAAAGGAACAGGCCCCAGGTCTCAGATGCTGAGCCCACGGAGACCCCCAGGCCTACCTGAAATCAGGAGAGGAGGGTGAGGGCCGCAGGGCAGGGCCAAGACTAAATGGCATGAGAAGAAGCACAGGGACCCAGGGTCGGGTTGCTTTTCCACCTGGGTGGGCACTGACCTTATTGTGCCAACCTTTCCACGTCCTGATCTTCCTCATCTGTGAAATGGGTATAACACAAGCACCCAATCAGCAGCATAATTGACAGAGGCGGTAAGGGCAAAGCATTTAGTGCCATGCTTAGCATGAGGAGGGGGCTGCAGAAGCCCACCTTGCTTCATAGACTACTTCTCCTGCCCACAGTGTCACTTTGCCTTTGTGCAGCACCTGATAGGACACTGCAGGTCCCCAGTGACTGCAGACGCAGAGGTAAGGAGGGTGGAGACCTGCCCAAAGCCGCCAGTGCTTTGTGGCAGAGACAGGAGTCAAACCCAGGTCTCCTGCCCTTTACCTGCCCTGCACTGAAGCTGGCCAGGACCCTCAGGCCCACCCTGGCTGCGGCCATGAGAGGAGTCAGGGTGGCCAGGGGGCCTAGTGTGGCCGACCGGCCCGGGCTTCTGCCCTGCATGCTGCTCACAATGGAAAGTGCTGCTCTCGGCAGTAACCGGGGAGGCCCACTCGGTCCCTGGCCTCTCAGCTGCTGAGCCAGCGCCCCCTTTGTGCCCCGCACTATAGGGCCTGATGTCTGCCAGATTATAAAATGGGGGGTCGGCCCCTAGTGCCCTAGAGCACAGCCTGTCCTCCAGCAGGAAGTAGCAAGTCCCCAGGTAAGAGGGAAGCCACCCGGCTAGCAAGTGCTGAAGGCGGAGGAGAGAGAGAGAAGAGAGAGAGAGAGAGAGAGAGAGCGCGAGCGCACAGGAAGGGAATCCCAGATAAGAGAAAAAGGCAGAGAGAAGAGCAAAACAGACAATGAAAGAGAAAAAACAGCAAATAGTGGTAACAAACAGAGAACGAAGCAGAGATACACAAGCGCAGGACACTGGCGAGGACACAAGCAGAAAGAGAGGGAGAGAGGGAAGTAATAATGGAATCACACAGTGCGAGACAGGCAGGGAGAGAGAGGAGAAGCAGGGGAGAAAGGGTGAGAACATGTCTAAGCAGAGCATGCGTCTGTCCTACTCCTGCGGCACCACTGCACAGAATGGGGGCAGGGGCGGCCAAAAGCTGCAGATGTGGCCCAGATGTCTGGCCCGCCCTGTGGCTGAGGGCTCCAGAGTGGCCACAGACTTCCTCAGGGTAGGCTGGGGGAGGAATCTGCTCTCCCCAACAAGAGAGAGACAGGAGCTTGGGGATCAGCAGGACCTGTGCTGTCAAGGGGACTCCAATCCTCCACAAAGGTGACAGGAGTGTTTATTTTCCCCTGAGGACAAAATCAAGGCAACCAGAACATACTCAGAAGCAGGCATGCAGCAACAACACCTCCAGCCTTAGGTCCCCAAGGCAGTGGGGAGCCACTGGAATTAACCAAAGCCATCTCCACCCCATGCCTACACAGCCACAGCGCTTGCTTGGAGAGCCCTGGATGCGGAGCAAATCCATCCGCGTGGGCCCTCCTACGTGTCCAAGGCCCAGGCCGGTGTTTGCTCGCACGCTCCTGACCCCCGAGGATGCCAGAGGCAGCCACCTGGGCATGAAGATGTGGACACACAGCGTTTAGTCTCTGAGCAGATGTCAAATGAGATTCTCCTATATGCCAGGCACAGAGCCAAGCACTGAGGAGAAAAGCATGAACAAATCAGAGGGATTAAATGCCAGGCAGGGTGTCTGATACCCCCTTGCCCGGATCCATCTGCTGGAAACTGGAGTTGAAATTGGATGCCTGCTTCTGAGTGGCCCAGGCAGGGCACCTCTCTCTCCCAGCCTCAGAAGGCTCAGCTCAGGGCAGGGGGCACAGTGACTCCGTTATTCCTCTGAGTTTCAGGCAGGGCAAGATTAATGTTTGTGATGGCGCGTGGTGCGCCCGGGGCCTCCCAAATATGACTCCTCACTGTTCTACATCTGGTGAGGGAAATCGAGGCTGCACACACAAGTAAATGTGATGTGTGGTCAAGAGCTGCAGGAGGCTAAGGAAGGCACAGTAGGGACAAAGGGAGGCGGAAGGGGTGGCTGGTGGATGGCACAGCGCCGTCAGAGGCCTAGAGAAAGGTAGCTGAGGGATCAGTGGTCTCCAGACAGGAAATTCTTGGCTACAAACAGGGCTGGATCAAAAACACTTCCAGCCTTATACTTCTGAAGAGAAAGAGAGGAAATGGGTTCAAGGAGCTTGGACACACAGGGTGAAGGGGGTACGAGAGTGGGGGCACAGTTTACGGTGCCACCCCTGAACTCACAGAGGCCAGAGGTTTTTTTATGGCTTTGCAGGACGGAGTCATGTCTCAGGCTGCAAAGGCTGCAGCCACAGCGGCCGTGAACCCAGGGCCTGATGCCAAGAGCAAGGGGGCCCCACCCTCGGGACCAGCCCCTGGCCCTGGCTCCGCCCTGGCCCCAGCATCCGTGCCCATACCCAGCACCAAGGGGGGGGACCTGCCTCCAGGGAGTTACAAGGTAAGGACCTAGGCACAGGTGGCTAGGCTGGGCCCCTGGTCTCCTCCTGTCTCTCCTCCCCCTTCTTTGCCTTCTTCTCCTCCTCTTTGTCTTCCTCTTCCTCTTTTCCCTCTTCTTCCTTCCTCTCCTCCTCTCCTTCATCTCCTCCTCTTCCCCTCCCCCCCTCTACGCTTTGCCCCCTCTGCCTCTTTCCTCCTTCTCCTTGGCTTCTTTCCTGCCCTTCCTTCCCAGACACACCTGTGCCCAGCCAGTCTGGAGCCCAGGAAAATGGTCAGGGGTCTCAACACACCTGGGAAGAAGGGGCCCATACTGGAGTTGTGAAATGAAATGGAAACGTGATATTTTACCGCTGCAGAAGTACTTACCACAAGGACCAGCCCAAGTAAGCCTGCAGAGGGTGTGTCAAAGCCAGAAGCAGAGGAAGAGGAGGAAGTGGGCAGGCTCAGCCGCAGGTGCCCCCTGTCTGTCCCAGAGGCAGCACCAGGCCAGCAGGCTGGCCTCATGCCCTCCAGGAGCTGCCCTAAGTGTCTGAAAGGATCCTAGAGAGTGAGGCAGCTGGCCCCAGGGACTTGAGTCAGTTTTGGTTTTGGTCTCAGGTGCACTTTCAATTCATGGCATATTCCCATGTGGTCCACTCAAGGCTGGCTTTCATTTCTGTACTTTCATTTGAACAGTCATTTTAATTTAATTTTAACAACACAACTAGCACCTGCAAACCCACTATCCCATAAAACCCCAGACGTACTGGGCAGGGCGGTGCAAACCTGTATCCCAGCTACTCTGGCAGCTGAGGCAGGAGGAGGATCACAAGTTAAAGGCTGGCCTGGGCATTTTAGCAAGACCTTGTCTCAAAATGAAAATGGAAAAAGTCCTGGGGATGTAGCTTCTTTGTAGAGTGCTTGCCTAGTATGCAGGAGGCCCTGGGTGCCATCCCCAGTACAGAGAGGGAGAGAAACAGATACAGAGAGAGGACTTGGTAAAAAAAATCCTCTACTGGACCCCAAGTTTCCAGACAACTGCCATTCTCCCCTCCCAGGGTCACTATCTGCTTGCTGTGTGTTTCTATAGTGTTGTATGCTAGTCCTTTAAAAGTACGACTTGTTTTTAGCTTATTGAAACATGCTGAGTGTGCTTATTCTGGCTTTCTTTTTTCTCATCTCTGACAATGTGACCCCGAATGTGCCTCCACCTGGTTGAGCATTGCGGGAGTCGTTTGTTCTGGCTGCTGTATGACTGTGCGGGTTCGGAGCAGGTCGTCATGCTTCTGCCACGGACCCCTCCCCTGGGTGGTTGCAGTGTGCCTGGGGTATTTGATCCTTTGTTTGTTTTGAGATCGGGTCTCACTATGTTGTCCAAGCTGTCCTCCAACTCCTGGGCTCGTGTGATCATCCTGTTTCAGCCTCCCAAGGAGCTTGGGTGACAAGCGCAGACTGCAGCACCCAGCTTAGCCGGGAAGGTCATGTCCCTGTCCCCGGCTCTCACACAGCAATCTCTCCAAGAGACCAGCATAGCAGTGGAAGTGCCCGGTGCAGGCAGTGGGAGCCTCCTCTCTGCAGCTGGGGACCCTGAGGCTCCGAGAGAGCAGGCAGCTGCCTCAGTTCAAGTGAATCACAAGTTTCCCTGACTTGGGACAGCGAGAGGATAAAGTACCCAATCACAAGGCTCAGCTGGGAGAGGTTGGCTGTGCTGTAAGAGGGGACTAGCAAGAATTTCCTACATCCGGGGCTGCAGACAGACCCAGAGCAGCTGGCCCCTGCCCTGGAGAACCCTTAGTCTTCAGAGGGACTGGAAAAAGGGGAGAAGGGGAGAGGGAGAGATTGAGACAGATGGGAAGAGGGAGAAAGAGGCCCGAGAGCCCAGAAGCATCTCTGCAGTGTTGTCACTTGGGCTGCCAATAGGGTGAAAACGTGGGGCGCTTACAATCTAGACCCAGCATAGGACCAGAGGAGGACAGATCTGGGAACACTTGCAGGAGAAGGTGACACCCGAGCCTAGAACAGGAGCAGATCCATGAAGTCTAGTCTAGAACATGAGTTAGGGAACACAAGTGAAGCAGTGAGGGCCCCAAGACTGGGATCTGTGGCAGCGAGGGTCTTCCAGAAACAGCACAGACAGGAACGGACTGGAAGAGAGACCCCACCCCCACCCTGTTCCTGAGGATGGTGCAGCCCTGAAGCTCCATAGTAGGGAGCAGGAGGACAAGATCATTTCACAAACCGTGGCTCACCTGACCCGCACACACCCTGTGTAGAGGGAGACAAATATGTAAGGAATTCTGACCTGGAGCTTCCCTCGGTTTGGATAGTTTGGACCTCAAGGGCACAGAACTGGGCTGTTCCGCTCACTCTGTGCCCTCGGCGTGGGGGCTTCTCTCCTGCAGCTGGTGGTCTTTGAGCAGGAAAACTTCCAAGGCCGACGGGTGGAGTTCTCGGGAGAATGCCTGAACCTGGGAGACCGCGGCTTTGACCGAGTGCGCAGCATCATTGTCACCTGTGGACCGTGAGTACGGTCTGGGGCGACCCTCCGCCCATGATAACTGGGCAATGGCAGCAACCTGTTTAGCAGGTGCCTCCTCTGTGCCTGGATCGTGTAATGGTGCCTCTGTGATTCCCGATCCTCACCACAAATCTGAAAGGGTAGTACGTCACTCTGCCCCCCTCACAGAGGAGGAGATGGAGGATCAGGGCAGTGACTCCATTCGTGAAGGTCACACTGACAATAAGCCGTGGCTCTGGGCTGCAGGAAAATGCTGCTCTTAGTATGGAAGGAATCAGCCTATTGCTGAGGGCAGGAGCAAGCCAGAGTCCTGTGTCCATGTCCTGTCCCCTCTCCTGAGCATCACATGGCCCTAGAGCATGCAGGAGAAGCCAGGTACTGGGTGAGGACATCACCTGGCGATTCACCATGCTGTATGAGGAAGGGGCTGTTCTTATCCCCATTTAACAGGTGGGGAAGCTGAGGCTCTTGCAGGGTTCAGACATGTATCCAAGATCCCCCAGGCATAAGTGGCTGAGCCCCCATGTGACTCAGGTTGACTGGTTTCATTTCCAGTGCTGTTGAGCACCAGCCCTCACCAGCTGGCTAGAATCTGGGTATCTCTTGGCCTTCATGGTCCCCACAGAAAGTAGGAGTCATTGTCCCTCAGACAGGTCAGCTGTCCTGCTCTGGCCCCTGTGAGCAGAGGTCAGGGCACTGGGCCAGCCCAGGACAAAACGCACCCTGGTTTCCTCCCCACCCAGGCCCCGGGGCATGGTCAGACTGCATTCTGAGCCCCTGGGGCATATAGCAGAAATGGGATGAGCTTGAGGCTTTGAAGTCAGACAAGTTTGGGTTGAGTCCCAACTCCCCTGTTTACCTCGCTCTGTCTCCAGGCCTCCCTTTCTTCTTCTCTGAAATGGGGAAAAGCCCAGGCCCTACTCGCCCACACAGGATTATTCAAGGTCTGTAGGAGGTAATGCAGAATGCAAGTGGCATTTTGTGGGCACCCATACACAGCAGGTGCCTGCGATGTCTAGTTACCCCTCCACCGCCCTGTGAGTGTAGAAAGGTCACCCTGGTCTAGGGGCCATTGTGCCTCCTGCACCACCCTGTCCTGGCGCAGTTAACGCGACCTCAGCCCTGCCCACAGCCCCCAAGCCCAGCTGGGAAAGAAACTGCCGGATGTGGCCAGCTTAGGGTTTCAGGCTGTTTTTTGGTGCTGGTGACTCAAACCCAGACTATTTTTCCTCGGAGACACAGACACAGCTGGTCTCTGCTACATGTACCCAGAGCAGATACAAACAGGCCTGTGGTCCAGGGCCTGTGGCTGGGTCCAGGCAGCAGGGCTATGGAGAGAAAAGAAGATAGAAGGAGGCAAAAAGGGAGGGGAGGAGAGTAGCCACAGCACAGGGTGGGAGAAATGCCTGCTGGGGCCTAGGAGACTTCCACCTGACCTCTGACACCACTGTGTTACCTTGGGCTGGGAACTTCATCCCCACAAGCCTCAGTTTCCTCATCTGTAAAGTCAGAGTCCTGCTCTTTCCCTCTTCTCAAATGCAAGCTCCAGAGAGCCATAGCGAAGAAAAAGGTGTTGGGAGAAATATGTCAAATCCCTCTCTCTTGTCTCAAGCCCTCAGAACCTCCTGAAGAAGACAGAGGAGGTTTGGGGAAGGGTGAGCAGCACATCAGTCTTAGTGGGCTTCAGTGACTGCCTGAAATTACAGGGCAAATGAATGGTGAGTCAGGATTAGAACTCAGGTCTGTCAGCATCCAGAGTCTATGGTTTAACACCTACTTAGTTCTACCTTCCAAGGCTCCCTCCCTCTTCACTCCCCATCTCTATCCACACATTCATGATCCATCTACTTCCCCATCCATTCATCCATCCATCTATCCATCCAGAGATCTATCCACCCCTCCTTCTACCCATCTACCCACTTGCCATCCACCTATCCATCCATTCATCTATCCATCCATTCTACCATCCATCCATCCATCCATCCCTCCATCCCTCCATCTATCCATCTATCCATCCATCCATCCATCCATCCATCCATCCATCCACCCTTTTCTCTTCTACTCCAGACTGGGCAGAACTGAGGCAGTTTCAACTCTATTTTAAAACAATAAGTCCACATTTTTTATTCTGTCCCTCAAGTAGGGTTCACCCATCCCTCAGACAAGGACTGGAGACTCCTGGGATGCATTCTGTCTCAATCTTAGGGAAAGGACGATCCCTAGGAAGGTGATGCTTATGTCAGTGTCCCCTTGGCACTTTCTTACTTCCTAAGAACTCTTGAACACATGGACAGCACAGGTCCAAGGCCCGTTAGTCCACCTTCTCCTCTGTGGAATGAGGACCATGCTTTCTCCTCAGCCCCCAGCCCATCCAACCCCATCTTTAATCTGGCCACACCGGGAATGCCAGGAAAAGCCCCACTTGACTTCAGATTTCTAGTTTGTCCAAACACCTTCATCTGTACTACCATATCGTACTGATTCACACAGGTACTGGGGATTTAGGTATTACTCATTCCCTCGCACCACCTCACGGAGTATCTCCCAAGCCAGTCTTTATCAAACTTCTATCAGTTTTTCTCTTACTGTGTGCCTCTGGGACTATTAACTATCAACTATTAAAATATATTTTACTTTCAATCATTCTTGAAAAACAAAACCAACAAGCAAGTAGAGGGAGGGAAACATATATACTTTGAGAATATATATATATTTTAAAAATAACCTTTGCATCACTTTTTTTATAAACAGCAAGCTAGTATCACTTGTTTTAAGTCAAATGTATCCATAAAAGAATAGTAAGTACAAAGTCAGCAGTATTATACTGCTGCCTGCCCAAGGCTCTGAGCCGGAGCCTATTCTTCCTTTATTACAAAAAGGGAAATTAGTAAATGTGAAGGACACATTAGCTCTAATCAGGCTTAACAGAAAATATCTGAATTGTTTGGCCCTAGGTTCTTGTAGTACTCACAGCCTGTGTGAATCCTACATTTGCAAAAATAGTTGGCTCAGATAATCATACAC